AATGCGGAATTAGCTATTAATATTTTCAATGGACTTCGACCAAAAATCAATAAAGGCACACCTCAATGTTATGCAAAATTAATGGAAAAGTGTTGGCACAAAGATCCATCCAAACGTCCAAGTGCTGAAATGATTTATGATATATCAGAAAATTGGATTGAATGTTTGCTTTATGATGATGAAACAGAAGATTCGCTTATGTTTTTAAATGCAAATCAAAAAATTCATGATTTAAATGAAGATGAAGATTTATCTTCTGCTGAAATTATTCATTCTGAAGCACACATTACAAGTAAACCTTTACCTCCTTTATCTTTACATGATTTAAATATTAGTGATAATATTGATTGGACAAGTCAATTTAATTAGTTAGGATTATAATATATCTTCTTTAATAATTTTTAGCTAAATCTCACATGCAATTGAATTTGTTAACTGAAATTTCTTAATTTATGTCCATTTCCAAGTTTTGATTAGTTTATATTATTTTTATTAATTCTAGTTATTATTTCTATATAAATTACATGAACATGATTGTATTTTATTAATAAACTACTCTAAATATCATATATATCATATATTGTCACCAAAATTAAAAACTTTTGCTTAGTTAATAGTATTTAACTAAAATTAAACTTTTGCTTCGTTAATAATCCTATAAGATCATCATCATACTTTTCAATCTTCAATCATGAAGTACAATATTTAAGATTGTTAAGAAAACTGTTTAAAGTCATATTTATATATATTAAATATTTTCTTTTAATCATTTATATCTATATACTGATGTTTATTAACTTACATTTATCAAATTATGAATTTTTTAATTTTTTCCTGCTTAAAATTGAAGACTATAGTTTTCAGAAAATACTTTGAAATCAAGTTATTTATTATGTTCCATTAGTTATTAGTTTTGAAAATTACGTGGAATCTCTATCAAAATTATGATTAGTTATCATTAATGTTAAGTGATTTATGTGCAATGCATATTAAAAATGAATTTTTTGATCATACCCGGAAAATAATTTAAGACGTAATCCAGCTAGGATCGGCACCCGTTTATAATAAAATCCGGAGTATCTACTATGGCTGTTGTTTTGTAAAAAGTAAAAAGTTTGATGAATTTTTCAAAAAATAAAAGATACTTTCATATACACTGAAAAAATCAATTTTTTAAAATTATTATGAATTATTATGTTTTTGACCTATAAAAGATTCGAAACATACTTAAAATATATATAAATTTACCCCACTATTTTTATATGTCAATGGTGCCGTTCTTAGGCGGATCATGTCTTAAAAAATTGTGAATCCTCACCTTATAAAATTTTTTTAAATATTTCCATAAATGTTGCTTTAACGAAAAAACAATAAATAACTAATTTTTAAAAAAATTGTTTCTGAATTCTTATGGATTCATAGATACCAAAAAAAGACTTATTATTAAGATTGTTGATATATTTTCTGGTTACAATTCCATATAAGATAGTTGGCATTAATATCTATCAATTCCGGTATGGGTAATGTTCAAAGATTAAATTTATTATTTTTAGTTAATTTTATTTGAAGTGTAATTTCTCTATTCAATTTTAAGATAAATAATATAAAAAAAGTTTGTCAATTTAAATCACCCGTTGTGCCACAATTAGTATTTTAAATTTAGTAATTTTTTTATTACCGAAAATTTGCACTAATTTTCACCACTTGCACAAAATTTGCGCAAGTTCTTTGTGAATTTTTTTCCTTTTTTTCAACTTCGCTCGTGATTTTCGAGGCAAGAAAGCCGAAAATAGAATCTTATAATGATTTTTCATTAAGACGATAATTAATGATATACAAAACAAAAAATTTAACTGATTTCTATATTTTATGCTTTAAACAAGAAACAATTATCGTACAAGGTGTATTTAATTTCAATTTCTCTTCTCATTTACTATCCAAGTAAAATTTTTAATACAATGTCAAAGATTTAATATAATAATCGTCAATATACCATTTATTTAACATATAGTACATATGTATAGCTAACTGTGGCAATAGTCACGTGGGAGGTGATTGGTCCAAAAAATGAGATATTAAAATGCAAGAAACATTATATTGACCTACTGCTATTATAATAATAATTTAAAATTATGTTTTTATTTATAATTATAATATTGACTGCCTTACCTTACAATGAAGTTATACACAAAAGTTTATACAAATGTGATGATTTTAATATAATATGCAATAACTTTTATTCTAAAAAAATAAAAAAATGCATTCAATAAATTTTCCTCTAATAAAATTATTGTTTTTAACGTTAAAAAAATGATTTATAAATTCTTATAATAACTGAATAATACTAATAATAATACTAATAATAATAATAATAATAATAACGAATAATGAATAATAATAAAATTATCGTATTTGTAATATTTTATAAAATAGTTAAATAAATTAAATGATTAAAATAATTTCTTGTTTCATTTATTGAATTGTAAAAGAATTTATTTATAAATGTCTTCCATACTATCATTTTCTTTACTGTAGATTTCTCTTGCCTGAATTTTTTTTTTAAATTTACTTTTAAGACATAAACAAATACAACAAGTACATAATGCTACCAACAAAACTGCCGATATTACAAATACTATTATACATAAATTTCCACATCTCCTATATCCATCTTCATAATTCCAAAAAATCCAAGTAGAACGACGGTTGCTGCTGACATAAGCGAGAGTTGATGACGGAAATTGTATAAACAGAATGATGAGAAGTATCAAGAAGGAAAATGTCATTATTTCAGTTATTTATATTTTATATAATTTATTTCAGATAATTAATTAATTATAATGCATTCACTTTAAAGTAGGTCAAATATTTCTATAAGTATTAGAAATAATACAATTAAAAGATTCGTTTATTAATGAATAAAAATTAATTTCGTATTTATTTTAATTTCGATAACTTACACAAATATACAAATTTAGTTGGAATGTTTTAAAATCTTCTATCACAATATTTTTGGTTGGTCCTTTCATTCCTTTTCTAGATTTCTAGACGCTCACATTTTACACAATTTCTATTCATTTGTAATACATACATTATACATTACTTTTAAAGCAATATTTCATTAACAATATAGTTATCAATGAAAAGTTTCATATATTATTAAAGATTTTCGGATTTATATTTTGTAGTTAAGTATTGTTCAATATAGTTAGAATAAACCAATAATTTTAATATACTGTATATCAATTTTTTTGTTTCAATTGTATATCATAGAGAACAACTGCTATCGAAGGTATGACATCATATTTATTTTCTCAAGCTTTAAAATGTATTCTATTATAATTTATCTAATATAAATTAAGGAAGTTGCTGGTAGACAACTACTTTGGTCGCAGGTTAAGGAATTAATAATAATATTTCTATGATACTGGAAATTTAAGTTTAGCCAAAATTCTATGAGATTAGTAGAATAGGAAAACAACGGAAAAGGGATAAATTTTTTTCTATGATAAAGTTAATTGATAAAATGTAACGGAAAAAATAAATTTTTCGACGGATTCGAGGATCAGCGATAAGTTGAATTTCGGTTTAACAAAATTGTTGAAAATATGTTTCTTGGTTTAATTGATTTAATTAAAGTAATAATCAAAAGATAATTTCGTTTTATTTTATTTTATTTTTTAATTATGAAAAAAGTGTCGTTAATTTTGGCGCTGTTATACTCTTTTGTAAATTCCGAAATTACTATATTGATGTTCGAACGTTTATTTTTTTTGCCAACCTTAAATGGATGAATCAAATAATACTATAATGTTGTCTAGGAAATTGCCTTTTACATTACATCAATTAAATCTTATTGTCAATATATAGAATTTCGCGTCGCGCGTAATGAGATAAATTATAAATATAAATAATAAAATCATTTATTTAAAATTCTCTATCATACAATATTATAAGTGAATAAAAATGGCATATTCCCAAAATGAATGCAACGGTGATTGGTGTAATACGTACAACCCAACACATTTCAAAAAATGATTTTGAAATAATAGTAATAGATAAATTTATTCAACTAAATGCAGATGATTACCTTTTAAGATATTAAACAAATAACAAAGTGGTTTTGGTGCTATTTATTATTAAAAAATCAATAAGGTAAAGAGATGGTCAAAAAAAGATTGATGGGTATTAGAGATTCTAAATTAATAATAAATTTATTTGATTATTTATTAAAAACATTTGATAAATACGTTATTTAGAAGATTTAGCGTTAAATTTTAGAGAACTTCATAAATATTATCCAATCATTATAATTTTCATCCTGAAAATATTTTATCAGATAAAACATTTTGGAGTATTACCCTATATAGTAGTTATCGCTCATATGCTGATGTAAAAATATGTAGTGGGTTTAGACTAAAAATTACACAAATTAATTATACCAATAATCATGGGATATGTCACGTATTGAGTGAGTTTTTTTTTTAAAAAAAAAAAACTCAAAAAAACGAAATATGAAATATTGATTATATTTTATACAATTAGAAACTTTAAACAATTCTTAAATTAATTAAATTAAATTAATATAATTAATAATAAAATAAAAAATATTTTTATATTGTATTGTGTTTGTTTTTATATTACAGTGATTGCAGAACAGCACGGGGATAGATCGTGTATGTAGTAATATATGTATGTTTATGTCATTTTTATTGCTGAAACTTTAAAATATATTATTAACATATATTGCAATTTGTTTTTTTTATATGCGAATTATTAGGCATATTTAAGTATATTATCTCTTTTATTTGGATCACCGAATCTATTTTATATGTGTAATGTTTTCTAAATAATAAATAAATAATATAATGTATTACAAAAACACGAATAAATTACAATAAGTTTATATAAATTTAAATGATACAATGTGCTTATGTAAAAAAAAATATTATAAAGTAAAAATAATTTTACTGCCATTATACTGTTAGATTACAAACATCATGTCAAATTCCACAGAAAAAGATTCTCTGTTTTTCGGTATAAGCCAAGACAGCCAAGAACTTGTTACTTTTAGTCCAGGTAAAGTTAACTAGTAATTATTTTTCTGATTATTTCCTTTTATCTTTAATAATATTTTTTACTAATAATTTCGTAATTTTTTTTTAATAAATCTTTGATAATTCATAAAATAATAGGGACACTCAAATTTAGCTATATAATACTGATGATCTAAGTTCAAATAAACATATTTCTACACCTGGATCCGTAGTTAATGATGAACATGAATGTTGGTCTATAGCAATATCTAATTGTGTAGATGGTGGTGGTGGAAATGAACGTTTTATTGCATTATCTTGTTTTGATGTAAGAAAATTCCGTCATGAGGAAATGCGTGATGATGCCGAAATCAAAATAAAATGTGATAAATATCTTCAGACATGGGTCATCTCTACTACAGATGTAAATACTTTACTTTTTCAATTGGTGGTGCTGATCATCTGTTAAAAAACGAAACAATAATCAAAATAGTCAATTTATTAAGAAATCATGAATAATATTAAAGGAAATAGATTTTTTTCCAATTTGTCTGTCACGTGATAATTTGCATAATTCATTTGAACACTTACATACAAACATTATTAAAAATTATTTTATGGTACATTCTTTTAAAAATCAACAACGCATCATTGAAATGTATAATTTGATTACTGGTGAGCTAGAGATGTTATTTAAACGTCATGAATCTTCGGTAGTTCTTAACATAATTCGTGGTTCTCCTATTTTTGCCATTTCTCGAAATGAAAAGATTTTAGCATTTTGTCGGGGAACTACCAGCATTACGTTGTACTTTATAGAAAATGGTTTATAAATTAATACTAAGCAATTAGAAGGTCAAAGAGGAATTAATAAAATTGTGGATATAAATTTTATTGATGATGATAGCGAACTTTTAATAATACTTGAAGAAAAAGAATATCTACAAGTTGAAATTCTTACCACATTTGAAAATTCCATTCGCCAAATTGATTATTCCGAAACCCTGAAACCCCTAAAAACGGATGTTATACAAGATTAATGAATTCACACAGAAAGATGTTTGCGATTACGGCTAATGGAAATATTTTTTCAGTTATAAATAATCCAGATATGGCTTTAATTAGAAATCCTTTAGTGAAGTCAATAACTTAAATTGATATTACTATTAATGATACAGTAGTTTATTTAAATTCTACTAAAGAACTCAACTTATTATTTCGAGTAACATCATACAAGTATGGAAATGTCGTGATCGAGCATTATTGTACATCTGGGCTCGAGAAAAAGAGATTTATGTTCAAGAACTAAGAATTGGAGAACGAGAATTTATGCTAAGAGTTTCAGTATCTTCTTCTATATCACCTTCCAAACCACCTCTACACCGCCAAAACCAGTGACAATACATTGGCTTGATAGTGTAAATGTTCTTGAAGAGGCATGTCGAGCTCTTTATGTATTGAAAGATAAGAAACATATTGTAGATGGTCATGAAAATGTTAATCAAATTAAATACTTAATTGAATGTACACAAAGATTAATACGAAAATATATTACAAAATATGGAATATTTAGATTGACAAGTATTAAATATCCAATTATGAAATATCTCATTAAAAGTTATCAAGAAAATTTAATTAAGCATATTTTAAATAAGAAAATTAATGGAAAAAATAGTAATATTTATATACCAAGATTATATAAATGGGAAGATAATAATAGATCAATAATCGAAATATCAAAGTCAGATTTGCAGTATGCTATTGAATGTATTCAAAAAAAAAGAGATTCTACAGAAATTTTAAAAAATATTTAATAGATTATTATACTGATAATACTAAAGAATATAATAATTGTGGTTGGATGTTTACTGTAAGCAAGGCAATACCTTTATTATATGACAACAATTTAAGTAAGTCATTTAATTTCTTTGATTAAAGTATAATGATGGATTTAGATACTAAATAAGTTTCTTCAAATTCGTTCCATATTTATTTAAAAAACCATGTTTTGGATCTACTGAAGCTTATACTCCACCATTAAATATTAATCCCAATGATCAAAAGAAAGGAAATAACGCAAATGTAATGCTTTCTTTGACAGTAAAACTGTTCTTGCATCAAAGCTCCATAATGTTCGATGGTTTTTCCAAAAAATCTATTTTAAGGACAAGGTAAATCATAATTATTAATCAAAAAAAGATCATATATAGTTGTTTAAGTCATTTTTTTTTTTACTAATTCTCCATTTTTTTATTTAAAAAAAAAAGATGATATAAAATGTTCTGATTAGGATTGAAGCTTCACATAATGATCGTAAAGTTTATATAGTCCCTTTACCTGATTTTATAGTATATCCCACCTCAAAGATCTGATCATAGAAAAAAGATTTTTGGTTAAGTTTAAATCTTTTATATTTTTTTTGGCCACGTATAAAAGTTAGTAATAATACTAAAGAAATGAGTCCTTTCCTTCGTGTTATTCATAAGAGAAAGATTATGAAATTTATCATACACCTGATATTATGGCAATCTTAGATTTTAGATGATCAGCTGCCCGTCGATATTATATTCACCATATCATTATGTATTATTAGTTGCTATTTCGTTTACTTTGCCATTTATGAATTTAATTCTCATATTAGCATCTAAGTATATTGAATTGTATTTAATTGTTACAGAAATTGTGCAATTAAAAAAAGAAGGATGGCATCGATATATGAATATTTATAATATGTTTGATCTAGGAACATTGCTATTATTGTTTGCTATTTCTATAGCGATAGCTTTAAATTATTATGGAAACATCAATTTCCAAAATTCGGTATTCAACCCTGCTGTAGCGTTTACGGAGTTAGTTTTATGGTTTGAAGGGGTAGGTCTTTCTTATCTTCTTTTCTCACTTTCGGAACGAAACAAATTTTTTAGTACTTTATAATTTTTAATTTTTATAATTATTTTTACTCTATTTCTATTCTATTAATATTTTCTTTTTTTAGTTATTTCTATTGAGATATTTTGAAACTCCGGAATGGTTCGTTTATATCATTTTAAATATATAAATGCTATTTGGCCATTCTTTACATTCATGTTGAGTGCTGCATTTGCATTTGGTTACGACACGTAAATATTCTCTAATTATAATTATAATGTATTTGTTTCAATGTTTTTAAACATTACTAAATTATTTTTATTACACTTAATTATATTTTATTATTATAATCATCTTCAGATTCGTTTTTCTTAATATATTGACTCAACCTTACATATTGTCACTTATAAAACTAAAAAGATCTTAAATCCTGACTTATATTCAAATATGTTTTAGGACGTTGATAAATCTTTCCGAATTGATACTTCAAATCTTAATCATCATTAGAAACAGTATTCTTTCGGATCAATGGACGGAATCAATTAAATAAAATAAATATAATTTATAATGTAAGAATTAGTAGAATTATTGGAATCTTTTTTCATATAATCATCAGTTATTCTTCAAAATTTGGTTATTTAATGATTTGGAAAAATTGAGAAGTCAATTGCTTGTATCTGTAGATAATTTTTTTTAGCATTCTCAAAATAATTGTTATTGAACTTATTCAACTAAGTAAGTTGATGAAATTTTGGTCGGTCGTGATCCAAACATTTTCAAAAGCAAAAAAATTTAGGTCGAAATATAATGTAATGAAGTTTTAAATAATTAAATATCATAAATTCATGCTCCCCCATTTGTTAAATATAAAAAAAAACCAGTAATACAATATTGTCAAACTTTATAATAATTAATGTCCATTTTTCTATTTCATTTAAATATCAAAAAATGAATAACATAAAAAATTGGAGAATACTCATTCTTATCCTTGTTTTATAGTACATTCCCCTGCCAAAAGTATTGGACCACCTGAAAATTTTTTAAAAAAATACTAAAATTAAAATTCTAATTGTATCATAATGAGTGATCAAAATTGCACAAACTTTTTTTTTATTAGATTCCCCTAAACTAGGGCTATCATATGATATATTTAGTGATAAAATTGAACGTCTATACACAGAGAAATTATACACCAAATAAAATTGACAAAAAATAATAAATTTAATCTTTGATCGTTACCCATACTGGATTTGATGAATATTAAAGATATATGCCAACTATCTTAGATGAAATTGTAGCCAGAAACAATATCTACAACGTTTATTATTTATACTTTTCATGATATCTAGTGGAAATTTGACTTCAATTAGACATGAATAAAAACGACCGAAATTTAATAAAATTTTAAAAAAATAAAAAAAATTTCGAAAATATTTATGACGTGAAAACTTGATTATTTATTAACTTAACAATGAATATGTATATATTGAGAATTGAGAGAATAATACGCGATTAAACTTTAGAGTATAATTTTAAAACATCCGATATTTAACCGTTAATATTAAACTCAATTCTCAATTTAAAAATCTGAAACTTTTACAGTTGATAAGCAGTTGATTTTTTTCTTTTTAAAAAATAGAACTAAACTTATATCTAATTTATCTAAACCGACATAAGGAAATGTACTACTAAAATATTATTAAAAATCCAAGCTAATAAAAAAACTTTTAATAAATTGTACAAGAAATTGTATAACGGACATCAGGAAATTTTATAAGGAAAATTTTCTTCCCCCGCGCAAATTTGCGCAAGTTTTTTGTTCGGTTGAGAGGTGCAGAGCGATTTTCTAAATGCCATGTCGCAAATTTTCGTAAATCTTGTGCAAATTTTCGCACAAATGTTTTTCTTTAAACCGGACGATCTCCGCGAATATCGATGTCACAAGGATGAAACACATGTCATTTTGTAGCTAAGAGCA